CTGCAGGTTAAGTGAGACAGAAACTGTCACTTTGTTACTCAACTTAGTAGCATTATCTGATGGATAGGTACTGTAGCCATTTCATTAATATATTCACCTGTGAGAAGCCTCCTTTGAGTTGGTAAAACACAACACCCGGGTAAATTTCATTTTCAGCATGAAATGCAAGAGGAGCAAGGGCTTGGAATTCAGGTCACAAGGCACATAACATTGCTGTAAAGGACAGGGAAGAAATTCAAAGACAAAAACTACTTCTTGCCAAGGCTATCTTCCCCGAAACCTATTATCTGCCCAAGACTTACACAGTCTTGAAGATTTTGCTATGGACAAATAGCAACAAAACCAGACCCCACACTGTCATCTCCTTTAGAACAAGTCACAGCTAGGGACCGGGAAGACACGCGGAGCAGGAGACCTGTGCTCTAATGTTTGCACTGTTGTCTATGGCAAGTAACAACATGCACTGCCTCGTCTTCAAAAGCAAACGTGACCTGTATTCACAGGCTTTGAGAAGCATGTTGGTACACAGACTTTGAGATGGACCTCTGAGAAGTGCTAATACGTTATTTTTACTTTCTACCTCCGTTCCCTTTTGCTAATGAATCTAATTCCACATGAACAGAGTTTACATAAAAAAAATTCCAGTCCTAATCGTATGAACACTGAGTAATGAGGCAACAACAGATGAGCAGGTCATACCTGCTCCCAAAAATGCTTTCCCTGAGCTCCTCTGTAATACAAGGGATCATAAGGAAGACATTTTTGGGATTAAAAACTCAACTTTTTCGGGAGCTGACCTAGATACTCCAGACTTCATCTAGCCTTCAAATACACTTTATTCAAGCACTTTTTTTTTTTTTTTTTGGCCCAGCCATGAAGGGAAGTCATTTTCTTGGTTGCAAAAGAATCAATGTCATACCGACAGCCCCTCAGGGAGCGTGTATTTCTCTTCAGTGTCCTGTTCAGTCTCTGCTCCATCTCTGAGTAATTTTTTCTCAGAATAGACAGATGTGAAGAGGCGAGGCTGGAATAAGCCCAGCTGCTGCAATTTCTCTGGGTCCTGGGTCAGTGTGGCTGAAAATAGCAGCTTCTGTAAGGGTATCTGAGGATGGCAGGAGCTGAAATAAATAAAACACAGGAAGTGAGCTTTGGGGACAGAGCAAAGGAATTCCTCCACAAGTGCTTTCAGATGATGTTACGAGGGAAGCAATTATCTCTTTTTGAAGCTCTTTTCCTGGCCCTCGGCCTTTCCTGTAGCTCCCTTTCCACCCTTGTTTTATGGTGGAGTTCACAGATAGATCTGATCAGCACTCCGAACTCAGCCGCACAACTGCGTCCCTTGCCCCAACACACATCCTTGCCTCCTAGCCACCCCTGTCCTCATCCTAGCTCCCTCCTTAGTCACCTTAGACCTGCTCTCAGCTTCCTACTCTAGATGATCCAGCTGTATATATCGTGCCCGCTGCGACACATCTCTGCCATGCTGCACGGAAACAGCAGCTGTAGATAAAGAGCGTTCCTTCAGATCTATTACTCAGCTTGTCAGAGGGGAACTGCTACAGTTAACTGTGAAAATAAGTCACAGACTTGCAATATTTTTGCATTCATTTGATGCTGCTCTAATCTAGCTAAGGAAAACTCAGAAAATACAATACTCGATACTTGGATTTCATGCTAAAAGAGGTCCTTTAGAATCAGTTGTTCACTGCCTGCTTTTTCAAGCTATGGAAAAGTAGCTGCCTTACTTTAGCATACGTTTCCCTGAGTAAGCAGGCTTTGAGAGGGCCTGTGGTGGTGTACTATGGCATCTAGACGCTGGTGTCTGTTTTACCAGTTCAAAGAGTGCATTTTGCAACTCACCTGGCTGCTGTTACAGGCCCTGGTTTGATCCTCTGAAAAAGCACGTGGGAGCCAGAGTCATTTTCTGCTTGGAACGCAGCTCTGACAACTTGATTCAGCCAATTCTGGTGCATGTCATCAATCATACGGTCAGCTTCATCTATGATCTGAATTCACAAGGACAAAATACACGACTTGTTAAATACTGTCTGGAACTACAGAGCTTTTATTTTCCTTCCATAACAAATGAGCCAGAACATGTTGCCTGAAAAACAGGCTGGAGAAACAAATCCATATAAAGCAACTGTAATCTCTGTGCTTTATGGAACCTTCTAGTCAACAAAATTACCTTTTCCCCTTTCTTCCTCAAATAAGGGCAGAAATCTCATTTTCTGCCCCAAAACTGAATTTTGCCTTCATTTTGGTTGCTTGGTAACAAACCCAGCACTCAAACTACACACAAATTCCTTTGCACTTCAATCCAATCCATGCCTTTGAGTAAGAGAAAAAACTCCAGATTCTCAGCAACTGTGCGTGTCTCTGTACGGATTCCAGTATGTTCATAAACTACTATAGTCTGATAATTTACCCCATTTTTGGGGGTTTTGACTGATGAGGTTTTACTGTGGGTTTGCGTTTGCACAAGAAAAGAGAAAAGAGGAAGTAGGAGGACACCTGGGTGTCAGGAATCTGAACAAAACACTTCATCTCAAGACAGCTGCCTGAGCAATCTGGAGCACGCACCAAGATCATACAGCAGTTCCAACAGAGATGTATGCACGTATTGTACAAGTACAAAGCAGGAATTACGAACCTAACGGACCTTGCACTGAGATGGCAGACCCGTGGAGCTGACTCACCAGGAAGCGAAGCTGTGTCAGGCTGAACCCTGGGGTCTGGCTAATATGATCTGCGAGCCGCCCAGGTGTAGCCACAATAATATCAGCCAGGCTGCAGTAGCCTGTCACTCTGAAAGAAGAAACAGCCCATCAGTAAGTTCTTCCCTGTAGTGTAAGCCATGTAACAGAGATCCTTGGTCAGCAGACCTTAAGATTTCTCCTATTATTCTCTTAACTGAGAAATAATAAAATTCAAATATACCATTTACCTTGAAGAGCATGCAAAGGCAGTGCTGGAGACTAAACTCCATTCTCAATTACACTACTTCAGAAAGGAATGCTCCTCAGTTATCAAATAAAATTTAATTGCAGCAAAATCCCATCTTCCCAAATATTACCAAGCAGATGGTAATAGGGCTCTCCTTGCAGCAGGGGATTTTTATGGGTAAATTTTATTCAAGAATATCTAAGTCTGAGCTCTGTCCTCTGATAAGACAGTTTTTTGGGGACAAAGGTTAGAAATCTGTTAGTACTTTACAAGACCAAGGCAATAAAAAGAAATCAATGCCGGGCATCTCACGACACGGGCCGTTCTAATTATTGACCTATTTTAACTGGTGAACAGGTAAACTTCTAGCAGGTAATTCTTTTCCTCTTTACAGGCATGCTGCTTATACAATATCTATTTCTAAGAGAGCAGCCATCCGTACCTCTGATCATAAGGTCAATGTTTACATTCTACTTGGCTGGTGGAAACCCCAAGAAATCTAATAAAACATAACAAGCACAAAAAGGGACAGTGGCGTGCACTCTGACAAAGACAAAACCACCAGTGTTTAGCATAAACCTATCATCCAACCTCATTATTCCGTGAGTGTGATGCAATAGCTTATATTTTGATCTCTGTTTACTAAGATTAACTATTTAACAGACAAACTCTAAAACCTTATCTAAAGACCATTTTACCTACTTTTTCTGGACAAGCATCTCCTGCTCCTTTGCAAAAGATTTCTGGCCAGTAACCGAAACGACCTTCAGACCTGTACCATCAGTGTATATGTTGAACACTTTACTCACCTGCAAAGAAGAGATGGGGTTTCTTAGCCACAATCAGTTAAAGTAACGCTTTCCATTATGCTAATAACATCAAACCCATTGACAGGGTCTTCAGCCTACTTCACAGAATAGCCAAAGCATTTATTGCACCAGACTTTCCCTCAGCCCCGTTCTGCTCAGGGAGAAGGGGAAGAGGCACATACCTGTTGTGCCAATTCTTTCGTGGGCAGAACAACCAGAGCTCGTACTTGGCAAACCACTCGATCTAGCAGAGCCTGCCAAAACAAAGGCCAAATGAGACCCTGAGAGCAGTGGGGAGGGAAGAGGATTCTCATATCTCAGCTACTGAGGAGATGGGCTTGACGCATCCTCCTGGAATTTCATGTTTCTCCACTGTATTCCCCTCCATCCTCCCAACCCTTCACATTGCCTTTTGTCTGGGAAAAGGAGCAGGATGCAGAGATGAACGGGACACGTACAGCTTCCTCAGGTAGCTCTGAGCTAAAATTTGATGTTTTATGTCCATAAATTCCTTGGCTTTTTGAACTACTTCTGAAGGCTTCCCAAATTTTACTGTGAAACAAACACAACTTAGCCCTTTTCCCAACAGACATTCACTGTGGGTAAACTCACCTGTACTACAGGTATGACAAAAGACAGGGTTTTACCACTGCCAGTAGGTGCTGAGACGCAAATGTCTTTGGGGCGGTATCCTCCCCGCCCCATCAAATACCCGTTGGATGCACTCTGTAGAATAGCAGGGATCACCTCTGCCTGAACTGGAGAGGGGGAGAAAAAAAAAAACAGGGGAAATAAACATTAACTACAGAAGTTAATGAACTGGGCTAAAAATCAGTCTATCCAAAAAAGCAGAGTCGCATACAATGAATCTGTTTCCATGTCTGCTACGTGGCTAGGAAGAGAAAAAGGGATCAAAATAGAGAAGAGACTATCTGGTTTTACCTGGTTCTTCTTCATTCACGTGAGCTTAACACTAAATATAGAGATTTCCCTACCCAATAATTCAGCCATTTCTAGCGCTCAACTTGCACGTTAGCAATGTCAAACATTGTTTTATACCCATATCTGTCTTATTGCCCTCATGTTCAGGTGGCACTAGACAGATTTAAAACGTTAAGTATTTGTCTGCAAGTATCCTTTCCCTGGAGCATTGCCGCATGTTTAAACACGGAATAGGCAACATGGCAACAGAGCCTCACTTGCCAAGGAGCTAAATGCACAAGTCCTATGAGCTTCAGCAGCATTACGGTATTCATTTCCCTGTAGGAGAGTACACCAGTAGCGAAGCAAACACAGTCCAGTAAGGACAGTCCATGACTGTCTCCCATGAACCCTCTCCTCTGCCTGTGACAAACCCTGACAGACTGCAGAACCTTGGTTTATCTACGAGGTTTAGCAGTCAGGGGCCCTAGCTCAGTGACAAGGTCATGCTCAGTGAAGCATACAACATACGAGTTCAGTGGACACCATCTTTACAAGAGAGAGCACAATGCTGCTTGACAGTCTATAACCGAATGCCATAAGCTGAACCTGATCCGTGGGGAAAGCTGCTATTGGCAACCAGTTAAGACACCCCACAATTAAATTAACAGTGGCATTTACAATAATACATTATGTAACAGTACACTTTAAAAAGACACATGCATTGGCTTGCCACTGTAACCTCCATGAGTCTGATAGCGTAAGGCTGTGGGCTCAGGGCTGCCACTCTGACCTGCTGCTGAAGGCAGGAGAACCCACTACCTCTCCCTTCTGTCCCACTGCTTCCTCTCCTCACCTCCGCTTCCAGCTTTGCTTTCTACATGTTTAGGTGCTGGCACTTACTGTTCCTGTATGCAAAACAGGCAACATAACAGAAAATCAGCTTGCTTTTTTTTTTTTTTTTGGCTTGGATAGTTTTCTCCTGTTTCAATGAGTTAAGCAGGTTCCCACTGTGGTCCAATTGCAAGCAGAGATGGTGCAAGGTAAGGAAATAAAGCACATGCCTGGGAGCAAAGGAGAAAAAATAGAGAACGCGAGTAAGACCTCCCTCTTTGGCAGCTACAAGCTATTATTTCAAGTCACTAACTTATCGAGCTGCATTTAAGACTAGTTAACTGATTTCAATTACTCAGCCCAGGTAAGGCTATGAGAGTGAAGGATTAGAACTGGTGTGATTAGATTAACGCCTCAAACTTGCTTTCGTCCTGTGTTTTACCTCCCTAGGTACATGAAACATACAGGTTATAGAAAATGATACACAGACTAGAAGACTAATGTAAGTCAACTTCGAAAAAGACAAGGGTGCTATTAAGGTACCTGGAAAAAAGGACTCTATTCCATTCATTTGCAGCTTCTTCAACAGCTTGGGATGAATTCCTGGGACATCTCTGATTGGAACTAGATTCTCTTTGATACGTTTTTGCACTAGTTTGGGTTGAGCAAGCCACTGTGGTAAGAAGGGCTGAACCTGAGGTGGGAGGAAAGGAAGTAACAAAGTGCTTTTGCTGTCAAACAGGCAATACAGTATATAAAATAAGATGGTAAGATGCCTCTTCCTTCCTAGCCATCATTAAAGTTCAGTAAAGCTAGTTACCTTCTGCACCAGCCTTCTTTCATAGTCTCCAAGAACTACCAAACTAGAGGGTGGTGGATTTGCCTCCTCCTCCAAGGCTGCTATGGACAGCTCCTCCTTTTTGCTTTGGTTTCCTTCAGCTTTTTCACTTTGCTCTTTCCTCCTTGTTTCAGTTCCTTCAGTGTCCTCATCCTCCTTCTTCCTTTTAGCTGATTTACTTCTAAGGTTACTTCTGTTCTCCTGTTGCTCAGCGACGTCTTGAGAATCTGGAACTTGGGTAATGGAAACATAAAGCTAAAATCAGAACGTATTACAGAAAAGGGACGATGGGAACACATGTCACAATACAGGACTTAACCAACCACCTGTGAGCTCATCTTGCTTCCTAAATCTAAGCACAAGAGCTAAATGTTGTTTTGGTGGCATTAAGACAACTGAAGACAGAATTGACTTACTTCCCTCCTTCTCTTACACTACACTGGTTCCAAAAGTTCATAATAAGTGGCTTTCTACTATAACAAGAACTACTTTAGGAACATATTGAACAGATGAAAACAAAGTTTACCATCAGCTAAATTAAGCAAATTACTCAAAAGGCAACACATCTCTGCTTCTCTGTCGAGAAGCACCCACCACAAAGCACCAAGGTCCTACAATTTCAGTTTATCAGTACCTGCCTCAGTCCTTTCTTGAGACGCTTTTGATTTTTTTCTATTTTGTTTCTTCTTCTTCGGTGGAGTACTGCCATCTGCTGCCTCCTCAGTATCTGCCCTTTCTTCAGAAGGGCTGCATCTCTGGTGTTTCTTTAGCTTTTGCCCTTCTGCACAGCAATCCTCTTTGCTCTCCCCCTTCCTCTTTCTTTTTGCTCCCTTAGCTTCATTCTCAGAGTCAAACTCAGAGTCCTTGGCTCTGACGTTTTCACTGAGCTTATTTTCTTCTTCCTCCTGCTTCAACCCCTCAGGAGACAGGGGCGCCTGCTGCTGCTTTCTCAGCTGCCGGGCTCTGGCCTGCTCTCGCAGCCGCTCCAGCAGCACCCGGGACCGATCCTCCCTGTCATCCTCTTCCTCAGCGGCGTATCTGCAAAATTCAAGGAAAATGAAAAAACAAACCCCTTCTCAAGCACAGCCGGCAGCGGCCCGGGCGAGGCCCCACC